ATTTTATAAATGAAAGTTATAGATACTACAGATTCAGAGCAGCCCACATACAGTGGTTAAAAAAGACATATATTTACCTCATGCTGCAACATGACTCTGTCAATAAGCAGTGCTCTAATATGCTGTTTCTTGCCTTGAAGCTGCAAATAGGCAAATCAATTATTTTTATGTGGAAAAACTTTATTCAGTGCTACCTGTGATTCCTTTTATTTTATTTCATTAACTATGAACATTAACTCCCCCTAGATTCCTTAAAGTCTTATTCATGTAAATATATTACATAATAAATACTAACCCTATTCTCCATTGATTTCTTCACCAAGTTAAAACTTTTCCACCGTGAATCAAATTCATGCTTATGTGAACCTTGGAAATGTAAGAGGTCCCCAATGATCTGTAGAATAAGAATTTGAGTTTTACAAAAAAAGCCATCCATCCAACTTAATGTTTTAGAAATTACACTAGAAATTGCAACTATACCTTAATGATTAGGAACAAAGACTTAGTATCATCCTCCGAGTTGTCAAGTACAAAGTCTATCACAATAAAGAAAAAAATAGTTAAATAAAGCAATATAAATTAATTGTTTGTAGTTAAAGCATTCTTGTCATATTGATGGCAAGCTGCCAAGGAACAATAATATACTTTCCTACTGTTTTTAGTAGGAAAAAAGGACAGTCTTCAGCTTTCATCCACCACATAAAAAAATCTAGTCTCCCAACCCAAAATAAAAGACTCTAGGAAGCTCCATCCATTGTTCCACATTCCACCCTACCAACTGTGACCTGAGATCCATTTAAAAAAAATCTATTGAATCTCAAGAAATAAAAATCAAACACCCTTCATTCATTTAAACTGAAGAAGAAAGTACTTTGCTTTATATTTGATTTATCATCTGAATTTGTACAAATTCAGTGAAAATGAGAGCAAATGGAATAACTAAAAGAACACTTACGTAGGAGTTTTCTTGTCACTTTGCAGATTCTTTCCCTGTAATTCTCTTTCGACAAATCTAAACAAGTAAGACCATTCATTATCTATAAAGTTTATAAATTACAATGTGTAGCAAGGACATGTCAAAAAGTGCAGAAACATAAAAATAAAAACAAAGGAATAGGTTTCTCTCCAGCAAAACTGTACAAGTATGTGAAAAGATTTGCATGGACCCTACACACATATAATTGCATACTTAAGATATGCATGCACCCATAAGGCTTGTATATAATCCAAAACATCCTTGTTTTATTTCAGAGATAAGTTTGCGGGTTTTGCACAGTATCTTAGCTGTTCTTATTTCTGCACTCCTCTGGACAAAGAGCTCTGATGTTATTCCTAGGATCTGTTGGAGATACTCTCCCAGCTTAGGAATCATAATCTCAAGTGCTCCTTACCACTACTGGGAACACCTTGGTCTTTACATGCCCTCTCTAGTTCCCCTTTCAAGTCCTGGTAGTTCTCCAGCTTCTCATTATTGCTCATCCTGATGTTGCAATCGCTGAGCACTGCTAGATCTATAACTACTGCTGTCTTCTGTCCTTGCCTACAACCATGAAGTCTGGTTGATTGGCTAGTATCTGCCTGTCTGTCTGGATCAGGAAGTCCCACAGGATTTTAACCTTCTTATTCTCCACAACCTTCTGTGGAATCTTCCATCAGGACTTGGGAGGGTTTAGACCATATACTTTACAGATGTTCCTGTACACAATCCCAGCCACTTGGTTGTGCTGTTCAGTGTATTCTGTTCCTGCCTGCATCTTACACCTTGGCACTACATGTTGTACTGTCTCTGAGGCCTCTGTGCATAGTCTGCACTGTGGGGTCCTGCCTAATATTCATGGCCACAGTGTTGCCTTTGAGGTCAGCCCTTTTCAGTCACTGGTGGTATTTCCCATTGCATGTCACCTCAGCTATCTGTCAGTGGAACATCCTGTGCACAGTACTATCTTGCCATGGCACTTCCTTTGCTTGAACTTTCTCCCATGTCTGTTGCTGCTGCCTCATGCATTCTCTCAGTAGGTCATCTTTGGGTGTCATTTTACTGATGTACTCCTAGATGTTCTGTGTTTTGTCCAGGGCAGGAGCTTTGACACTCATAGGACCCTGTCCAATCTCTTTCTGACTAGTCCCTGGGTATTGGACTTGGGATGGAAACCTCTGCACATTGACATCTTTCATGTCCTGCTTTGGCCAGCTCATATACAGTATATATTTTCCATATTTTATCTTTAGTTTTTATTGATTTTATTGTATTGAATGTCATTGTTGATTGTTGTTAGCTGCCCAGAGTTGTTGAGTCTGGTAGCTTGCAATATTAAACTCAGCAAAATTATTAAATTATTATTATTATCATCTTTTTCCCTTAAAGATTCACAGAAAAAAAACATAAATAAGAAGTTAGTTACTTTCTTTCAATAAGAGATCGGCGATGTCATGAATTAAGTAACAGCAAATTTTTTCCACCATTTATGCAATGGCATTAACTTACCATATTCAACACCGGTATAAAGTTTGATCTCTTCCAATGACACTAGACTTGGAACCCTGCATGATATATAACACATACATATTCTTTAAACAGAAATCTTGATGCAGTGAATTTAATTTCATAAAACAGCAATTACTGTTACAATTCCTAAAGATTAAGAATTATAATTATATATCTTTTAATTTCTATTTTTTTCTGTTTTGAGGAAAATGAAGACAGAATTTCAAAAACAATGAAGCTGTATAACTTCTTGATTACTATTGTACTTAGGATTGCTAACAACAAGTGATATTGTGTGGGCTTTAAAATTATATGCAGAACCGAACCTGGTTATTACTTTGATGGGAGACCATTAGGGAATTTCAAAGTCATTGGAAAAGATTGAAAGTAAAAAAAACAACCATCTAATTTATGGTATGTTTTATTATGTACAATATCAGATGAATAATTCTCAATGCATATTTTAAGAATCCTGTGAGGCACAAAACAATTTCTGATGTTTTTATCTAAATAGTTCCATTTATCATCTACATAAAGCAAATTTTACTTACATGTGAGCCACTTTTTCTCCTTTCAGAGATGGCAACATGTTTCCAGATCCAATAAGGCAATTGTGTACTATAGTAAGACACTGCTGAACATCATCTCTGAAAATAAATGTTAAATATGCTTAGGCTTAGGTGAAATATTTTTACTTAATTAAAAAGCACTCAAAAGAACTTTTAAAACTGACCTCCATAACAATATTAGAAAAAAATCCTATTAAATCGTCATGCTGAATAATTTTATCAGGCGGTTCAAACAAGCCACTATTTCAGAGGCCAAATCATTAAATAGTCACATAACGCATTTACCAGCAGTTAACTAAATAAAAACAATCAAACCTATTTGACTGACTGATTGCACTGAATAATAAACATTTATCTGTCTGTCTATATTATACTATCACCTCTGGAAATTCTGAGCATCATAAAAAAAAAAATTCCTGCTTGAGCAGGGAGTTGGACTAGAAGAGCTCCAAGGTCCCTTCCAACTCTGTTATTCTGTTAAAACTGACATCTATAAAAGTAATAAAAATTACAATATAAAATTTAAGGACACCTACATAAACACAGAGAACATTAGATAAATACTCCAAAGCCATGGGGGAACAATATTAAATTGTCAATCCCTGGAATAGAAAGTTTTAACAGCCTTCCTAAAAAGCAACAGAGGAAGAATAATTTGAACTTCCAGGGAAATGCTTTTTGGCCGAAGGGTAGCAATTCAGAATGTTAATTTCCGTGAACCCTGCTGATGACATTTGCTCAAAAAAGTTTACGGAGAAACCATGCACTACCATATCTAATTGGAAAGACAAAAACAATTGGGAATCGGCAGTCCCATATATATACTCAGGTTTTGACCCTATGCTCATGTTTGACTTCATCCAATGTCTTCAGTAAATGTCAAATTCAAGTAGAGGAAAGATTGAGTTTTGTGATGCCATAAAATGGAGGAACATACTGTAAGACACAATAGCACCCCTAAAGCACAGCATCCCCATTGACTTTCCTTGTCAGAAAGTTGCAAAAGGTCATTGCTGATACTGCAATTGGCATAAATATGAGTCAGTTGCCAATGTCTGAATTTTGATCATGTAACCATGGGGATATTGCAACAGTTGTGTGAAAAATAAGTCACTTTTTAAAGTGCCTTTGTAACTTCAAATGGTCACTAAATGAACTGTTGGTAAATTGAGGATTATGTGTAATATATTTTTCCCAGGTTCTATGCAATTCAGCTCCACCACATTCCCAAAAACCTTCCCTCAAAAAGGAAGATGGTTGAAGACTGGCCAATAATTATCCACAATTTCCGGGTCAAATAGTTTTCTAAAAAGGGGCTATACCACCATGTATTTCAAGTCAATAGGGATCAAGCTCTCTCTCAAGAATATATCTAATAAGTCCCTGTGTCAAATCCTAACACCTTCCTGGAAGTTTTTATCAACCAGGAATGGCATGGATCCACAGCACAACCTCACAAAGAATCCTTTCCAATTCTTCAGGACTCATCCCAGATAACTCTGTAAAATGTAGTTTTAGCCATCTCATCAGGTTCAGCAATCCTTCAAATGCCTAAAAAAAATTCCTCATAATAACCAAAATAATATTCTAGATCATCCTTTGGCTAATAAGGCCTGTCATTATAAAAATATTCTCTGGCCAGCAATCTGGGATTTCAATAAAAATTAAGAAATACCATTCTTTCATAACTCTTATTGCTACTGTAGAGGGTCAAAATGAGGTATTATCTGTGTTTAGTCTGATTTATTTTTTCTATTTCACCAGTGAAACTCTTGCTGACTCCTGATTCCTTTCATCTTCTGGAGCTCCTCAATAAGCCAAGAAGTTCTCCTGGATTGGAGAACTGGGAAAGATCATTCAGGCACAATCTCAATCCAAGTTCATAACAAACCACTACATTGTGTTTTATTGTTGTTGGGTATGTTTTGTGTGTACATGTGTGTTAAGGGTTGCTTTAACTGCATTTTTGTTATCTGAATTGTAATTAACTACAATGAGTTTGACAGAAGGTTACCCCTTAAGACCATTTGAATGATGTATTTGATTCAGCATGTAGCAACCTAGATAGAAACAGTATTCTAAGATATACCAACAGTATATGGGAGCTTCAATTGTTGCCAGTTACTCTCCAGATGCAGTTTCAAATTGGTTGTCACTTTTAAATCCTGCATGATTCAAGGCCTAGATAATTATGTTACTGCTTGTTCTGGGTTGTCTCTACCTGTATAGTGAAACAAGGCTTGCTGAGAGGGTCCTCCTACTGAGGAAATGTCATTTGCAAGGACCTCACTGTTGAGCCTTTTCAGTGAAGCCTTTCTCCTCCTTCCAGTCTGTGGAACAGTCTACATTAAATACTGGGACCATACCTCTTTATTATGTTTTTGAAAGGCTGTAAAAATGTAGCTCTTCAAAATGACTTTTGAGAGTACAGGTAGTCCTTAGTTAACAACAGTAACTGGGACCAGGAACTCTGTTGCTAAGCAATATGGTCATTAACTGAAACATCAAATGATTGTGCTGACTAACAATGTCAGTTTTGGCAGTTCTAGTTGTGGTTGTTAGGCAAATTCTGTGCAGTCATTAGGTGCAATGTTATGTGATCACCATTTGCACTTTCCTGATGGTTTCCCCACTGACTTTGCTTGTCGGAAGCCAGCAATGAAGGTCACAAATGGCAGTCACATGATTGTGGGGTGCTGCAATGTTTGCAATTGCAAGCCAGTTACCAAGTGCCTAAATTACAATCATATGACCATGGGATGCTGCAGTAGCCACAACTTCCAAGGACTGGCTGTAAGTTACCACTGTAACTTTCAAAGTCACTGAACAAACCTTAACCAAGGATTAATTGAAGGAAAACTATACTATAACATTAACTAGTACTTATTATTTATATTATTAAACATATTCCTATGCAACCATAATCAAAATGAGTCTCAGCAGCTCACACTTAATATATGTGTTTTAACTTTTTCTTTCCATTCACGCTGTTGTGATTTATTGTTAGCTATCTATTATTGAATAGCATCTACGGTATATCAGAAAATAAACAGAAAACCATAAAATAAAGCAAATCTTTCTGATAATGCGTTCTTCATATACAAATATTCTAAATAAATAAACAAATATGTAATGTACCCGATTCTTCTACTTAAGTAAATCTCATCAGTCTACCCAGGAAATTAGTTATATTCATTTACTTAAACTTGAAAAAACAGTTCAGTCAGTAATGAATCTATCTAACCTGGACATTTCAAGATTTCCATCTGAATACCGCTCCAGTTTGTCAACCTCCGGCTGGAGAAAAGTATCCAACAATTCAAAAGAAAAAGCAATTTCTTCGGCTGAAGGAACGTGCCACTGAATATCAAGTTTCTGTAGATCACCAAGTTTACCCCAATCCTGTAAAAACAACACAAGGGTGTGCATTCTGCCTTTAGTGAAATTAGAAAATAACTATAAGTCCCAACATTTAACAATGGATATTTTTTATTATTCCAGACAAAAGGATCTTAAACACTTGACTTGGCAAGAGATGAATTAAAAGAATTCAGTTAATAGTAACCTATTCAGGTCACCAGTTAGACTTTTTTTTTAAGCGTTAAATTTATGGTTTTTTTTTTTTACAAACTACACTTCTTTTTTAACGTAGGTTGAAATGTTATAGTATAAAAAGCAAAAAAAATTAAATAAAGCTAGAGAAGTTCCAACGATATAACTATACAAAGGACAGAAAGAGATTCATGATAGAGAGAGCCACTTAGAAAAGTCCTCTTCAAATTCATTAAGCAAAAGAAGGCACATGAACTCAGATGGAATGGGTAGAGAATCATATGTTAAACACACTGGTTGCATTCCACTCATTGCTTTTGAGGTCAAGACCAGCACTTTCAGTTATGCTTGGAAAGTAATCAGAGTAACATAGTTCTTAAGTAGGCCACAAAAAAGGTAGCTATAAATAGCAACCATAGAACTTGATAGATGATACTCTAAGTGCCAATTTCAAGTTTATCCAAAATGATATGCAAACAACAGGATTTTAAATTCATTTTCTAATCTATTCTTCTCTTCTATAGAAACCTGAACTTGGACTTTCTCCTGCCTCGGGCAATCTGTTCCAAAAAAATAGAATATGTCCATTTCTTCATTAGTCAGCATTCTGAGTATTTCTTTTCTTTATTCACATGATACATCAGGGGTAGTCAACCTTGGCTCTTTTATGACTCGTGGACTTCAACTTCCAGAATTCCTGAGCCAGCCATGAATTATTTGGATTTTTAAAACTATATTTTCTGATCGTATCTAATGAATTCTTCCCACTGAAAACAGTTTCCTTCAGTGTATGTTCATCTCTGCCATGCCTATAATCAGATTACTACTTGATCATTTGCTACTTTAAGACAGAAATAAATATAAATGAGGAGGTATGGAAAATACATGTTACATGTTTTCAAAACATAAAGTGAGACTCTCAGTTTTCAGTTTCCTTTTTAAGCAGTCTGAGATATCACTATTATAATTATTTAGTTACATCTTGCTGCATAGCATTGCCACTACCTGCACACATAGGGAAATTTATTTGTTTGAACTTCCAAATAAAGTTAAGAACAAGGCAATTTCATTTAAACATTATGTCAGGAAGGAAAGAAGGTCCAATTAAACTGATTTATTGCTACTAATGCCCATGCATGGTTAGCACCTTCTAGGAGTTAGATAAGGGTCAAGAGAATTCAAAGAGGGTGGACTTGGTTCACATACGGCTATGTTGAGATTCTAGGTTGATCCCTCCCTCTTTTAATTTCACCTTCAGGTTCTGCTACTTCTTTCTCTACAACTACTTTTTTATTACATAATATCATCTTTTAGTATTTTATATTTTAAACTATAAAAATATAACATGTATTACATATGTCTTTAGCATAGTATTCGTTAATTATATTTGTGTATCTGTAGCTATATAGCAACCTGACTAAGACCATTCCTCATGTTACAGAATTAACAGGTTTATTGTATAGACTAATTTATCCTGTAATATGTTAAAATGTCTTGTAAAAATAAAATGGGAGAAATACTACCTATGAAATAAGGAATATCTCAATTGTATTATTTAGTAGGATAGGGAATGTTACTAGAAAAAACATAAACCTAATGATTTCATGACATGTTAAGCTAGTTTGCCTATAATGTATTTAATTCTGATACCATTTCAAGATGGTATCTGCTAGCATCCAACTAAAAAAATAAAATAATACATTGATGATAAAATCAACATTACATATTTTTAGTCTTACAGCATCTTTCACTTACACTTTCCATAGCCTTTGAGCTGGAAAAATCATTGGGGAAATACAACAGAGTAATTATTTATTACTTTTATTTTGAAAAATGCAGTCAAATTCTCTAATCCTAAGTAAGTTAAAATCCTTGCCTTGATAGGAAAGTATTCAGAAAGAGGCTTGTCAAAACCACCTGGCACACTGCAGTATTCTGTGGGGTAGATAAGCGTAGTAGACCGAAGAAGATGGTGCAGTAGGTTACAAGACAGAATGTAACCCTGCTTACAGGTTAAATGGAGCGTTCGTTGTAGAATCTTCAAAAGCTGTTCCCTGTATGGTAGCAACTTCTTCCCATCCACACGAGTGATCTAGCAAAAGTCATAATAACAGAAACAAATACAAACAGAATTTATGTGAATGTATAGTTCAGAAGAGACATTTGATCTATTTTTTCCTTTTAATATGCAATCTATCAGGTTGGCCATCTATTAGGATTGTTTTCTTTTGTAGTTTGCCAACTTTTTAAATTTTATTCACACTTGTCTTATACGTGGCAGGCACTACAGACAAATCCAATCTTCCTGAAGCCCTCTACATATCTCATCATCCAACCCTGAGATCATCCCTATCTGTCAAATACACCAACAGTGGAACAAAATCTTGAAAAAAGTAATATAGGTAATCCTTACTTAACAATAGCCTTGTTTAGGGACCATTTGAATTTATCATAGCTCTGAAAAAATAACTCTAGGACCAGTCCTCACACTTATAACTGTTGCAGCATGCCTGCACTCATGTGATCAAGATTTGGGCGCATCACAACCAGCAGCATTTACGACAACTGCAACATCCAGGAGGCATTTGATCATTTGCCAGCTTTACAGCTAGCTTCCAACCACAGAATCAATGGAGAAGCCAGTAGTAAATTCACAAGTCATGATCACCTGATGTTTGTTTAACAACAGCAACACTTAGTGACAAGAGTTGTTGATCCAACTGTGGCTGCTAAATGGGGATTATCAATAACTGAACAGCAAAATGAGTGACTCACATTTCTAGAAGAAACATGCCATTATTGACTGAAGGAAATGAAATGGAAAATAAAAGTCTTTCTATAAAACATATTTAGATACAGAGAGTTCTAAATTATCTCAGTATCTTGCAATACTGAAAGGTATGTGGGGTATTAGGAGCTAGGAAGGGAGGATTAGGAAATCTTAAGGCCCAAACTCAACCTACCAAATCTGACCTACCAAAGAGAAAGAAAAAATAGGAGACACCCGATGAAACCAGTGTGGCTGTATAAAGAGCTAATAAGCTGAGAAAGAAAGCTTAAGTTTATAGAATTTAAAGGGGTGTACAACAAAAACAGAGCATCAGGGAACAGCCCATATTAATAAGGATAATGTCAAGAAGGCTCAGAATATGCTCAGGCTTGCAATGGATGCCAAAAATAAGGAAAACTGTTCTCTGGATATGTGCGAAACAAGGAAAAATCAAGGAAGGAGAAGAGGGCAAGATGGAAAAAGTGGTCCAACCTGTCAGACACCAAACCATTGGGAGGGGGAGTCAAAAGAGAAATGAAGATCAAAAGGAAAGAGTGCAAAAAAAAAAAGCAGCAAAGATGATGAATGGCTTGAAGGCTGATTCCCATGAAGAACAGCTAAAGAAACTGTGTCTAGCCAAATAAGAGAGGGAGATAAGAATACTCTTCCAATACTTGAAGGACTATTTTCAAGAAAGAGGGTATGGATTTATTTTCCATAATTCCTAAGTGCAGGACAAAACCCCAAAACATAGATTTTAGGCAAATCCAAAATGGAAATAAAGAAAGGAATTTCCTCAACATTAGAGCTATTAAGCAGTGGCATAGCAGTGGCATAATCATGGGTGCGCTGTCGTTGGAGGCTTTCAAGCAAAGATTGGGCATTTGTTTTAAATGATATCAGGATTCATGTCCTGGAAATGACTGGACTTGAAAACTCCAAGATCCATTTCAACATTATGATTCTATGAATTAATTCCCAAGTAGGGACACACATACACACTTGAGAACAACACTTCTATTTTTCACTAATAGTTTTAGAACTTCAAGCTGTTATATTTCCTCTCTCAAATCAGATTTAAAAACTCACTGTTCTTCTCTAAGGAACTTTAAAGGTCATATAATGATTCAGTCTAGCACACAAGTCTAACTAAATAGTTTGTGCCTTAAATATGCTCCTCATAAGGACATTTCTGTTTGTTATTTTGTAGATTGAAACTAAAACATGAACCAAATATATTGAAAATTAAAGCTAGAATTTCTCATAAATACCTCTGATAAAAGTTGAAGATTCCAGAGGAGTTCTTTATCTAACTCTTCATCATGTAAGACATCATCATCTGAATATGAAATATATTATTCCTCAATGTTACTATGATGCAGCATGCATAGATAATAACATATCTACAATTCTGAAGAGTCTTATTTAGGCTACTTGTGATACAAGCTTTGCTATGAAATGTTTTTATGATTTAATTAGAAAATGCAAAAATAATATAAATGTATAAACACATTATATCCTCACAGGATTCTTCTGTTATAGGATGACAAACACATAAAATATCTGTTTTACTTGTTTCTTATACCTATATCTACATTGTTTACACACATTTTTTTTGATAAAAATTAAATAAGTTACCTCTACAGAATTGTCTAAATGTTGTCTTATATAATTGGCTGCCTAATAATTCTATGGGAAATTTCGATCAAGTCATCATTCAGAAGATATGTCACAATATGTTTCCCTTCCTAAATTAGCATATTCCTAAAAAACGAGTTTTCTTCAATACTTAAGTATCCTTTTCTGCCTTCAATTGTTTCCCATTTTGATTTCTGAGAAATCTTATTATTTAAGCAAAAAACATACAAGGAGTTTAGGTGAGATATATGGTTGCATAAATAAATGTTTGCAGACAGCTTTGTGCGATTCTCACCAGCAGGTTAGCCCTTCAAATTCATATGTGAAGTGAACATTCTTCAATTGTTACAAGTAATAAACATATGAATAGCTTATTATTTTATATTGCACATTGTCTTTAAAATAATGCTCACTGATATATTTCAGTCCCCCTAGATGGATCACAGGAGCTCTCCTGTTCTTTTCCAACATGTGTCATGATAGAGTAGAAATTTTTAAATCAGAAAATAAGGGCTATTTTACCCATTAATTTCTTGCAAGATAGTAAATGATTCCAATTGTGAAGAAAAAGGAAACTGTTTAAGGCAAGAACAGTACAACAGCCAGAGTTCCCTCCTATAAATAAACAGCTTCAAGTTTGTCCTTTTGAGCCCATTTATGATTGTTTCAAAATCAGCATTCAGGTCTTAAACATAATCTCTAACATTCTCTTAATTTCAAAAGACAAGGGTGCACTTTGTGCCTTCAGTTATACATAGTATACCTTGCCTGTTGCACTGATGTATTATATTAATGTAATATAATGGTGAAAATTGGGAGTAGGGAGACTACTTAATCATTGAATTAGTAACTGAATAATTCTGTGCCAATCTCTTCTCTTACCCTAATCCATCTAAGTTACTGTGGTATAGTAGTTAGCATGGTGAAATAGGACCAGATTCAAATTCATATTGATACATGGAAATTTATTTAGTGGTTTTCAACTAGTCTCCATGTCTTGAGAATAAAAACTCTGTCTATTATATATCAGAATATTGTATATACTGTCTTTAGCTGTTGGAAAAACATGTTCAGAATGCCAGAAGCTACTTCCAGTTCTAAAAATTTTCTTCCAAAAAACTTCTCGGCCTTTGGTAGAATAGCTGGATTGATGCAGTTTGGAGGAAGAGCAGTAAATTCTAGAATTCCCCAAAATATTCCTTCTCCAAACTAGAATTTTTTGCACATAAATACAAATAAAATACTTCAAATTTTCAACAGGCAATATACAGCTACATATATAAACAAGTTACAACATTAGATCATTGAAACTTACTAAGAGTAAGATGTGTTATAACACTGCAGCAATGGGGTACAAAAAGCTTCAAAGACTTCTCTGGACAGCACTGAAATATCAGAAAGAACCAAATACTACATTATTTTGACAAAATAATGAACATTGCACAGCAAATATATGTAACATATCTTTTCTACTAATGGCCTTGATTCAGCAAAGGAAAAAATACTAAGAACTAGATAAAGAATATTCTCTCTAAGGTCTGTGTGGGAGAGGAAGAGAGCTGATGAACTGGCAAAACATTCAAGTGTCAACAAAACAGAGACGTTATTGTTAGATTTTAACTAAGAAAAAGGGAGAGAAGAAGAAAAATAAAGTCTTACTTTCACTGCAGCTCGGCACATATCAGCCACCATTCGACCAGACACTCTTGTCTCAAAAATATTTGAGACAGCAAAATTGAAAACCTTCTCCAAGGCAACCTATACAAAAACAGAAAGAAAATGTGTGCAATGACCAAACCTAAAATATTGAGCCATGGGCAAATTATGAATCCTAATTTAAAGGATATAAATTATGATATTAAACTAGGATTCATCAATACTGATAATTACATTATTCCCATCTTAGGTTTATGCATGGCTATCACAAGGAAAACATGTTAGAAAAGATAGCATTTAACCATTTTAAACTAGTGATAGGTAAACATTTTTGGCATGAATTCTATGAGTCATACCCAAGGAAACAGGAAGTACCATTCTGAGAACAGGCAACTCTATGCAGAGAATCATTATGAGGATGAGTTTTGAGGGACAAGTTGAGATGGCTACTATTGTATTGCCCTCTCTGTTGCACAGTGGTGTCCATGCCCAAACTGCTGAATCTCACCACTGAATTGGTTGTAGATTTCGTCAGGATAAAGAGGGACTTCAACTTGCTTCTTCAGTCCAGGTCATAATGGGCCTAGCAGACTACAAGGCCATGTGTCTTTTTTTTCTATTGGAACAATTGTGATATGATCTGAGAGTAAGGGACATTAATATTAATCCCTTGTCATAATCAAATCTGTCATGACCCTATTCAGTCTTTAGAATAAGGAAGTGGCTTCAACTATTTGTCATGATGGCCTCTTCTTATCTGCTGATCAGAAGGTACTCTTTAATATATTGAAACAGCAAAGAAACACCTGGAACAATGCTGGCAAACTATGAAGTGCAAATATAACCAAACACTGGATAAGAGCAGTACAATGCCAATACTATTCTACATTTATCTGTGGATAGTCAACTTTATTTAAGATGTCCTTGTAGGGAAGAATGAGATGGAAGATCAGTGATGAGGCTGTTAACATAAATTTGTAAAACATCTGAGGGATAAAATCATTCATACTTATATAGAATTGAACACTGGATACAGGCTGGGGAAATCCAACAGAAATGACAGATTTGTGAGGTTATCCAGGTTCAACCTGATACTGCTAGATCCCTCAGCAGATTTGATACTATTCATCATGATATCCTGGATGATTTCCAAGGATTGGGGATTGTTATGTACATTGTCAAGAATTGATATTAATTGGAGTTGCACATAAGCCCATCTAGAAACCAAATTATAAAGAAGTGATAACAATAGCACTTAGACTTACATACCATTTCATAGTGCTTTACAGCCCTCTCTAAGTGGTTTACAGAATTAGCATATTGCCCCCAATAATCCAAGTCCTCATTTTACCAACTTCAGAAGGATGGAAGGCTGAGTCAACTTTGAGCCAGTCAGAATCGAATATTGATTTAGCTGCATTCTAACCTCTGTGCCACCATGGCTCCAATCTAGTTTGTGGCCTATGAACCAATCAGGTGAGGCAACAATTTAAAGGAACCTACTAAGCATCATTTTTCAAAATATTATGCAGCACATTATATTACTGCATTAATGGACAGGCTAAGATGAAAAAGGATTGGCTTTGAACTGTGCTCTTTTCTATGGCAGAACATAGGCATCATTTACATTTTAACTAGCTGTTTACAGAGGAACAAAAAATACTATACATCAAATTAAGCTTATGGAAAAACAGAGAAAATATATTTTACTACTAAACTTTGCCAACTTGCAATCTATGTTGAGAAGCAACAATTACACTTGATACAGATAGTCATTGGTTAACAGTAATAATTAAAACCGTGAACTCCATCACTAAGCCATGTGATCTTACAGTGCGATGGCATGTGACTACAGTGCGATGGCACGACTAAACTGATAGCAGTTTCAGAATACATCATTAGATGAATTCTGCAAAGTCATTAGGCACGATGACATATAATCACCATTTGTGTCTTCCTGCTGGCTTCCCCAATTCTACGCTTGTTGGAGGCCTGCAGTGAAGGTTGAAAATCATATGACTACAGGAAGCTGCAACATTATAACTGCAAGCCAGTTGCCAAGAGACCAAATTATGATCACGTGGTCACAGGTATGGGTTCCATTTTGGACTATTGTGTGTGTGTGTATAAAAGTTCTACCACTGGTCCAGATATAGATTATCCATTACAAAAGTCAGATGGTCTAGTACTGAATGCAAAAAACAACTGCTTACATCTAAGGATCTATGTGTATAGCTTTGTGTTCTGCAGGAGATTTTAGCCTTAGTACCAAGTCAGCTATGCTATTTGCCAACTCAGTTCTAAATCTGGGACAACCTTCACAGATTCTGACAAAACTAAAGGTAAAAAGTCCTTTTTACTGACATTGGTGACTATACAGATACAGTCATATTATCTTCTTGGCAAAAAAAAGAAAAGAAAAAGGAAATCGTTTACAACTGTCTTCTTCCAAAACATTTTTCCTTCCCAGTCTAGCCTACAGCTTTAAGATCTGGCAATCTCCCATCCAAATATTAATCGTGCTGAACTTTTCAAGATCAATCAATGTTGGCTTAGGAACATTTTAAAACAAAATGAAATAAAGAAATCTATTAGGCATGCCCAAGTCTTTGGGTTTAACTGAAAAAGTTCTTTGAATCCCAGATCACTATACTTATTTTCACTGCAATATTTTTTTATACAGTGAATGCAGCTTAAATTATATTTATTTGGTCAAACTCCAAACAACAAGACTAAAATTAAAATTAAAAGTTTCAGAAGCTTTGGGTTTATGAAAATTAAGATAGAAATCAAACAATATGACTTTTATATTCGCTCCCCTTGATGAAAAATACCTTAAATATCTCTTTTGAGCACTGTGTGAGGATTGTGTTAAATGTAGAAGATAGTCCTAATTCCACTAAGCTCTCTAAATGAGTCATCTTTTCTGTTTCAGTCTCTTCTCTTGTTTGCTCCAATGTGCTGCTTTCTATAAGTCCAAAACATCTATACAGAAAAACAAAGATCAAGTAACAGAATTAGTAAAACAAGAAACCACAAGCTATTTTATTGTTTGTGTGGGCTGAAGTAAAATATTATTTTTAATGGTATGCTATAAAATTTGCATATGTTCCCTCAATCATTTCTGGCAACAAACTCTGGAAGACCAGAAAAAATCATTTCTTTAAATTATCTTTACCGACTCGTAAGCATAGGGACTTGAAGTCTAATAAAAAGTTTGTGAGCTCTTTATTTATTTATTTAATATTTATCATCTTTATCCTTATTTTTATTTCATAGACTGAAATTAGTGTTTCAAGTAATTTTCAATCCCCCCACAAAAATTCAAGAAAACAAAATAAATTAATCAGACTATAAAACTGCACAGAGGAGAGAAATTGCTTCATTCTTAAGATGTTTAAATATCTCAAATGTGGCCTTTTGTATCATAAAGGTGAGAGAGAGGAAAATTAATTGTATTTGGCCATTACAAATTTAAAAAAACAGGCACATGACTATCACTAGATGCTCTAATCAAATGTACTGTTGCATATAAACTTTGTTGAAAAGGTATCAAACTACTTATCCAGCTCTGTATCAACTTTTGACTCTTATATTTAATTTTTTCCCTCAGAATAGCTTTCAAACTAGAAATATAAATGAGTATGAAACACACAACTGCAGTGTGCAAGCCATTACATAGGACTGTCACATCACCAGCATGCTCTGCTTCCCATTACTACTTGCCTGTCCATAAACTGCAGTACAAAATCTTCAAATTCAGCAGTAGCAGAGCACAGTTCTCTCTCTACCTACAATTTCAAAATATAAGAAAAAAAATTTCTACTGCATGTAAATCCAAATTTTATTTAATTCTTGACACAATTCTTTTATTATTTAAAACATGCAAATCTCAGTTTCTGTAAATATTCAAAAAACCAAAGTCAAAATCA